CTGGAGGGTCGAACACCCCAGCTCCACAGAACAGAAGCTCCTGTGCTAGGGACCCTCCCAAATCTGTCTAGATATTTCCTCATCTGGCTGTTCATTTGCATCCTTTATAATAAACTGTCAAAGGGAAGTAAAATGTGTTCCTGAGTTCTGTGACCCATTCTCGCAAATCATCACTAGATTAATTTGGGAAGTGTGGGAATCCCCTACTTTGTAGCTAAGTCAAACAAAAGGACCCTGGGTACCCAATACTTGCAACTAGCATCCAAAAGAGGGCAATCCTATGGGACTGAGCCCTTAAACCTGTGGGGTCTGATGCCAACTCCAGATGGTGTCAGAATTGGATTGAAGTGTAGGATACCCAGTTGGTTTGGGGAAGTTGGAGAATCGGTTCTTGGTGTGGAAGTCTTGCGAGTAAAAACAGTGCAGACATACATTATACTTCAGAAGATTATAAGTATAAATTTCAATAGACAATAAGACAATATAAAACCAGTGGAAAGCTAAATACCAATGAAAAAGGACTCAAACTGTAAAAGGCAAAGAAGATAGTGCACAATAGATTGGCTCCTGCAGAAAGCTAGATCAATGAGCTTAAACTTAAACTGATTTTATATTATACCCACCTAGAAAAAACCAACATTGGATGAACCTGTTTTGTGTGAGCCTTTGCTCGGGCAACAGAGCATAAAGTCCCACAAAGACACGGAGGGGCTCCCATATACATGGGGCCCTTGACAGCTAGTGTCTCTCCACTATCTCATCTCTGCCTTTCTCCTACCAAACTTCCAGCTCTGCTCTTAAGTCTAGCAGTTTCAATAACTGCTTTCACTTTTTACTTTAGAGAAAAAAAATGAAGACATCAGCTGTTAGTCCTTTATAACAGAGACAGGAAACGTGTAAAATTAACCTAGAGATTAGCCTGTTTCCTTTCTATTGTAAAAAGAAACTGCCTATTGTCCAATCAGTTCACCCAGGCTCTGGAGCTCCTCATCAAAATGACTGGAAGCCCTTGTTGCTTTTGTATATTAAACTTTTCCCTCTCGACAGCTACATAATTGTCTAGCCCCAGTGCAAAATGAAAATGAAACTGTGGGACCCCTGGTTCAAAAATTAAGAATTTCAATACAGGAACAGCAGATTAGTCAACCAAGTGCAGGGCCCTGTAAGTGCAGAACCCTGTAAGACTACACAGGTTTCATGTCCACGAAGTTAGCCTTGCAATTAAATTTTTCCCATCACCTCTTATATACAGCATGCTCAAATAGGATCCATTTTAAAACAACCACCACCACAAATCAATCTCTATCATCGACCCCTGTTCTTTATCCTGCTGTGAAAAACTATCTACTGTTGTCTGTATTGTCCCTACTTCCTCACATCCCCTCGTGCCTCAACCCATTCCAAACTGGCTTTGGGCCAAGGACTTCACAGAAAGTATTCTGCCAGAGGCCACCTGCGGCTGCTAAGTTCTCCAGTCCTCATCATCTCTGGCCTCTCCCTCCTTCTTGACACTCGTTAGCTTCCCTGACGCCACACCATCCTGCTGCTCTTATTACATCTTCACCAGCTTTGTTTCCAGACTTCCTTCTTTGCAAAATCTTCCTCCTCTCCTAGCCAGTCACTCAATAACCTGAGCAACCAGCCCTCTTCCCTCTTGCACCTATAATTTCCTCTTGAGTGATTTCATTGAGGCCCATATCTTCAGTTTTAATTTCTTTACAGTATATCTCACAACATAAAATGTGTGTATTTTTATGTAGCTAAAACAGCTATTTTTTTTCCTTTTCTTCAGTAGATTTACTGGCCTATTTAGGAAGCCCTTCTACACCCAGATTGTATGAACAAACTCTGATTTAATTTGTACTACTTTTGGGGCACCTGGGTGGTGCAGTTGGTTAAGCATCGGGCTCTTGGTTTCTGCTCAGGTCATGATCTCAGGGTCCTGGGATCAGGCCCCGCATCAGGCTCCCTGCTCAATGTGGAGTCTGCTTGAGATTCTCTCTCTCTCTCTGCCCTTCCCACTCCTGCTGTCTCTCTCTCTCTCTAAAATAAATAAATAAAATCTTTAAAAAATGTACTACTTTTATGGGTTTTTATTTTTCTTTATTTTATTTAACATTTTGAATATTATTTCAACAGAATTTATTTTATATATGATAACTAACATTTTTAATAAATTAAGGGTTCTAACATCATCACTTTATCTCACTTTATCATCATTGTTTTATAATCAACATACATTATTTTTTGTTCACTTTTTTAGAGGCAGGAGGGTCAGAGGGAGAGGGAAAGAATCTTAAGCAAGCTCCATGCCTAGCATGGAGCCTGGTGTGGGGCTTGATCTCACAAGCCTGAGATCTGAGATCATGACCTGAGCTGAAATCAACAGTTGGACGCTTAACCAACTGAGCCACCAGGGCACCCCAACATACATTATTTTATGATCAGAGAAAGTAACAAATTTTAAATAAGAAAATAATATTGCATATAATCAAATCAGATTTTTTCTTTATAATTTATTTTTTTCATTCAGAGTAAGAAAAGATAGGAACTGATTAATTCTTAATCATAATTTCTGATAGATTTCAATCATTTCATTTGCTATTCAAATCTTGAATAATCATTTTTCTACCTTTTTCTCCACTTCAGAACCTAAGGTCTATGAAAGCAGGGATTTTGTATCTTTTGTTCAATGCCATATCCCTACTCCTAGTGCTTAAAACAGAGCAGCAGGAAGAGTTTAATATATATTGATTGAGTTAATAATTAGGTAAGTAATTTAACGAATTACCTATTTGCTAATGAATTTCTCCAAACCTGTATTTCTTTATTTTTTTCAAGTGTTTTAAATTGCCTTCTAAAATTCAATTATTAAATTTTAAAGCCATTTATTTATAATTACAATCTCTATTGGTTCCACTAATTTAATTGTCTAGGAACACACCAGTATGACTGCATTCTAATTATTGTGCCCATATATTATGCTTTTATATGTTTGGGCTAAGATCTATTTAAACTAATCTTTTTCAGAACAGTTTTTGATAGTTTATAATCAGATAAATGTAATACTCATTTAACTGTGTTGGACAAAAATTATTTTGTGACTTATATTTGATTCACATCTATTAATTCACTTGTGAGGACCAATGTTTTTAGCTTATCCTCTGCAAGGTTGACATTCAGGGATTCCAGAAGCCAGGGTTACTGGTGCTAAGGAGGAAGCAATGACAGTTTAGAAAAGAACTGACGTCCAATCAGCCAGGTGAGCCTTCGATCCAAGACTCCCTCACACACCACTGCTGTGTTAGAACTAGAAATGGTTGCAAAAAATGGAACTTTCACATAGCCAGGAAGAGAGAGTTAAACTGAGTATCTAAAACTCAAAGGGAAGACAGAAATGGGGGGAAAAGCAATGGATTCAAAACGCTGAAAGCAAGAAATAATAGGCATCAAAATAATGAATGAGAAAAGTCTTCAACGCTTTGAAGAGACCTCAACACTTCAACAAGAACGGAAAGATCCAAAGGATACAAACGTAGTGATCAAAGGGTACCTGTATCCCAATGTTTATAGCAGCAATGTCCACAATAGCCAAATAGCCCAGATGTCCGTTGATACATGAATGGATAACGAAGAGGTGGTATGTGTGTGTGTGTGTGTGTGTTTATATATATATATATATATATATATATATAATGGAATATTACTCAGCCATCAAAAAGAATGCAATCTTGCCATTTGCAATGATATGGATGGAACTAGAGGGTATTATTCTAAGTGAACTAAGTCAGTCAGAGAAAGACAAATACCATATGATTTCACTCATGTGTGGAATTTAAGAAACAAAACAGATGAACATAGGGGAAGGGATAGAAAAATAAAATAAGATGAAATCAGAGAGGGAGACACACCAAAAGAGACTCTTAACTGTAGGAAACAAACTGAGGTTTGCTGGAGGGGAGGGGGATGGGGGGATGGGGTAACTGGGTGATGGGCATTAAGGAAGGCATGTGATGTAATGAGCACTGGGTGTTCTATGTGACTGATGAATCACTAAACTCCACCTCTGAAATTAATGGTACACTATATGTTAATTAATTGATTTTAAATTAAAAAAAAGAGAGAAGATGTTAGCTGAAAGATGCTTTCCAAAAAAAAAAAAAGAAAAGAAGGGAGGAAGTATGGGAGGGAGGAAGGAAGAAAGACTTTATCTCCTTAATATTTCCTGATCAGAAATATTATGTCTGGTGTAGGAAAATTAGAAAACAAAAAATTATTAAAAAGAAACTATAATTCATCTATAATATGACAAAGGAAGAATAATAATTTCCACCTTCTAATATATTATCTTGTGGCCAAAAAAGTCAGGTCTATTTGTTTGTATTTTCATAAATATGTTTCTCCCCCTCCGCATGGATATAATAGATTCATCTTTTTTTTCACCCTTTTTTTCAGAGTATAGGTAGATTTCATTTTTTTAATACAACCTGATAGTGCTTTATGGGTGTCAAGTTCTTTTACACTTAGTTAGTACATATCTGTTGATGTTCAACACATTTTCTCAAAACCTAGTGGCTTATTATCTATAAACCTAGCCCCAGTTTCTCTGGGGCAGGCATTTGGAAGTGGTTTATCTGGATACTTCTGGCTAAGGGTATTTGACAAAGTTCCAATCATGGTGTTGACCAGGGATTTCATCATTTCTACGCTCAAGTGGGGAAAACCCACAACCAAGACCCCCTTAACCAAGATTTCTTGTTTTTGTCTGGTCTTGGGTTTTTTCTGGCTCTTGGTGCTGAGATTGAATATAAAAATGAACAAGTGCCAGGATATATTTATAAAACTAGAGCTCTAAACCACAGCCTGCAGCAACCTGCCCAGGAAACGAACTTCTTGTCTACAGTAACCAGCCCATGAAGCCAGCCTACTATAAATCAGACTTGCAGGAAGTCAGATTGCTATCTCTAGCAACAGTCCAGGAAGCCTGTAACAATGAGCCCCAAATTGCCAGGACTTGCTTAATAACTACAGATTCCCAAATTTGGTTCCTGCTTTAAACTTAGCACCACTGTAGGACCAGCCAGAGAAAGTGAACGATTCACCCCTAACTAATCAACTAGGATGCCCCACTCTGAGTAGCCACTTCCAGCTTCCCCGTGTCAATAGCCTCCAATCAAGGTAAGCCTGAAGCCTTCTCTTTTTTCTACTATAAAGCTTTCCCACTCCTTGACCTGCTTTTGAATCTCTGACAAAACGAAAGTGACAGGGGCTGACTTCCTTGTTTGCTACAGTTTTGAACAAACAGCCTTTGTTGTCATCTAGTTAGTGCTCCTTTATTCCCACAGTTAATTGTGGAGGCCCCAATGAAACCAGTCTGCGCTGTCCATTGCTGTGGGTCCTGGCTTTCAACAAGGTGTGATACCCACAGATGCCCTGTGCCCCCACTGCTCATGGCTCGTTCAGCCCCTGAAGATGTGGTAAGTCAGCATGCAGTCCGAATCTGCTCTCTTTACAATGACTTCTTCGGCTACCTAGTCTTAGTTTGGTACCTGAGTTTTGTTATCCATTCCCATTTGTTTGGGATTCTTGGTGGAATCGAGCCATTCCTTTCATTCCTTTTTGCTGTCTTCTGTGTTACTGCTTCATGCTGTGCTATTGTAAAAAAGAGAATCGTACAGAACACAAGCTTTGGCCCTGGAAGCCTCTTGTTCAAGTCGACCTCATACACTGGTGAGTTTTCAATGACTCATATCCACTTAAACAAACTTTGCTGTTGGTCCCCAGCAAAGCTGGATGAAGTTCTCCTTCCATCTTAAGTTTGTGTTCTGTGAGGTTGGCTTTGATCCAGAGACAGCAGACAGACCCACCTGCAGGAGAGCACAGACTGTCAGGCCTTGGTTGGGGGTAGCCAGCTGTCAGGTTAAAGGCCCGAGACCATGTGCCTGAGCATTGCATTGCTAATGACCTTCGCCAAGTTTCCTGGGGTGGTGTAAGTCTAAGTCCTCTCCTCTACCAGGAAAAACTCCTGCTTCTTGTGTGAACACTCATTACAATCCTAATTCTTGTGCCTGTCTTTCCAACTGGCACGACCTCACCAAAGATGATTTGGGCCTTCACCGGCCATTCTGGGGAACACTTGATTTGAACAACACTGGTCATTTGCGAGGTGCTTTGGAAAGAAAGGGAATAAGTTCTCACAAGTCCAGTGAACAGCATTTTTTGATTGGCATGTGAGGATTCCAGATGAAATTCTGAATCCAAAAGTGCTTCACTATAAGATCCTTCGGCCAAAGTTAGTAAGCCAGTTCACAAGTTAAGGAAGAACAAGCTAGATTCATTTCCCTAGTAAATGCTCGCCTCCTTGTCCTTCAGTGGCATCCTGTATCTAGTTGTTTCTCTTCCCTCTTACAGCCAGCGTGCTGTAAGTCAGAATTGGAGGAAATCAGGCAGCTATGCTTCATAAAAATCCAGGAAGCCAAACAATCGTCACGATAATAATTGGCCGCAAATGGCCAATTTGATGACTTGATCAATTATTGACAGCTCCCCTTATTTTCGCCCCCCTTTCCAACTTAGGATCAATCAGAGAAAGCCAAATATGTACCCCTTACAAATTTCATAGTATGCCCCACTTCCAACAGCCACCTACTGGTTCCACACGCCAACAGCCTCCAGTCAGGGCACCTGGAGCCTTCCCTTTCTTCTACCATAAAGTTTTCCCACTCTTCTGTCTGCCTTTGGGTCTCTGATGATGGAAGACCACCCCCCCTTGCTGTGGCAAGCTCTGAATCAATAGCCTTCACCTCTTTCCATTTGATTGGTCTTCATTTATTTCCACAGTGGGGAAAAAAAAAAGGAAAGAAAAAGTCGCAAGTGGAAACGGCTTCCCCGGAGCAAGTGCCCGAAGGAACAAGAGAGGGCAGTCCAAGACCGAAACCACAGGTCTTTTGTCGCCTACTCTCAGAAGTGACATCCTACCACTTTCCTATGTTCTATTCTTAGAAACAAGTCACTTAGTCCCGCCCACATTCAGGGAACCATATTACACAAAATGTAAACACCAAGATGCAAGGATATTGGAGTCCATCTTAGAGGCTTCCCACCACACATAGTGTAGTGACTGATGTTCTTAATACCCATTCAATAAATTATTTTATATTATTCTTTCTTCCCTTTTGTCATTGTTTTTCGATGTTTTTAATACCATTTTCCACAAGATTGTTTTGAATTTCCACTGTCCTTTTTTGTTACATTAATCGTATTTTTTTTACTATGTTCCCAGAGATAAATACTGATGATACTACTATATTTTTTTTAATTGACCAACTTGGGGTGCCTGGGTGGCCCAGTCAGTTAAGTGTCCCACTCTTGATCTCAGCTAAGTTCTTGATCTCAGGGTGGTGAGTTCAAGTGCCACACTGGGCTCCATGCTGGGCATGGAGCCTACTTAAAAAAAGGGGGGGGACAACTATTTCCCTCCTTGAAATTCTATTTTATAAACTTCATCATACAACAAGAACAACCCTTTAAAGTGGATTTGCTTCTCCACCCCTTTAGTCTCTCATCCCACTGACATCTTTAAAACACACTCATAGGCCTCTTTCTCTGCCCTGCCCCAAACAACTCTGTTTTCTTAAAGTAAATTAGTACTTATTAGGATTTCCTTTAGAAATTGTCTCTTTGTTTGAAGAGTTGTCATTTGTACTTGTTTTCCTAAGATGTTTACTGTTATCCTTCACACACACACACACACACACACACACACACACACACACCACTTGCCAGGTTTGTTTTCCACTATTTCCTTCTTTTTCCAGTCTCCCATCTGAAAGTCTCTGTTCTGTTGATTTGTTTTTACATTCTTTTAACTTTTTATTGGGGTATTATAACATCCGGCAACACACAAATCAAGAGTGAACAATTTGATGACTGTTCACAAAGTTAACACCCTCACGTAACCTTCACCATGTTAGGAAATAAAATCTTGCCTGCACTCCAGAAGCTCCACTCATGTCCCTGCCAATCTTTACTCCCTTCCTTCACCCAGAAAGAGCCACCATGCTGACTTTCCAACACATGGTTTACCTGATTTCGGATTTCTATCAAAGGAATGGGGCAATGTTAATTTCTTTGAGTCTGGCCTCTTTCACTCAACATTATATTTGTGAGATTGAGCCATGTAGCTCTAGTTCATTAATTTAAATTAATAAATAGCATTTCCTCATATGAATTACCATAATTTATTTGTCCATTCCACTCCTGATGGACATTTTGGTTCTTTCCAATTTGGAGCTATTATAAACAACGTTGCTATCAATACTTTGTACATGTCTTTTGGTGCACATGGGTGTGAATTTTTGTCAGGTCTAACATCTAGAAGTTAAATTGCTATTTGGCAGAGAATGCACTTTTCACCTTTAATAGATAGTTCCAATTTCCAATGGTTGTGCATCTTTGGTCCCCCCACACACCCCCCAACAATGTACAACCTTGATTCATTTGTTTACTTATTTTTTTTAGTGAATATTTATTAAGTTTAATAAAGACTTACTTGAATATTTGCACCTAAGATCAAAGGATTTCAGAGTTCTAAACTTTACAATTATTCCCATGATTTTACCAGTATTCTCAGAAAACCAGAGCCCTGGTATCATTCATACCTTGTGTGCCTAGACCTGTGTTGAACACCAAGAGCAGGGTCAATCAGAAAGCCCAAGAACCTGATGGTATGGTGGTCAGATTATTCTTGCCACCTGGAATTTCTTCTATTTCTTCTTTCTCATGAAGTTTCAATAGTAATTACAATAGTTGAAATCTGGCAGACCCTAGAAGCTTAATGAAGATAGCTATATTTTACCACCAAAATTACTGGACTATAATGATCCTTTTATTTCAGCAATTTTCACAATGGGAACAGATTATTAATGATTCATTTACTTGATTTGTATATGGGCAATTCAGAAAATGATGAAAAATATCAAATGAGTTCTTTAATGGGCCACTCAATCATGGTTGTCAGAGCCAGTCTTGGTTATTTCTTCTAGCTGATTACAGCCACTAACATTGTCTATGACTTCTGCTTCGTACAGAATATAATCTATTTGTTAATTTACTCATTTGTTCAGTCATTCAGTAAGTATTACCCAACTCTGTGTCAACATTGCCTGGAGCAGGAGGAGAACAAGGTGAAGACGAGGTCATGGACACTTCCTATTAAAGATAGATGTGCTGGGCATTTTGTTTTATTCTCCTTCCTGAAATCCTTCAAAACAACCAAAACATGATGAAAGGTAGAAGGAAAAATATCACTTTTATGAATCAAAGAAATTTCCAAACCTCATGTGACAAACAACAAAGCATATCCTGCTGACTGCTACTATCTAGACTCAGGACTAGTCAAGCAGGACTGAGGATTCCCTCCAAAAGCTCCAGTCAGGAGATGCATCAGTTACATCACTGAGATCACAGCTGCAAGATGCAGAGACAATGGTGACCGCAGATTGTACCCAGGAAGACCTACTTCAGCACCATGGAACATTGAAGGAGAGGCCACTGCATCAACTGGCCATTTCTATTGCTTCCCAGTAGACAGAGTCTGCCAGAGGTAAAATAAGTTGTTGTTCTTAAAGAACAGAACAGGAAAAGTAAACAGAAATATTCCAAATTATATAAGAAAGCTTTTATAAGATAAAGAAATATTTGACTCTGCAGATTAACCCAGAATAAACACATTAAGGAAAATTCACAGCAAGATATAGCCAGTGAAATTACTGTATTTAAAGGATAATCATGAAAATATCCAGGTAGAAAAAAACAAATTACATGGGCGGGGGGTGGGGGAGCAGAATTCAGGTTGTTTGTAATAGCCAGAAATGCCAGAAGACAATGGAACAATGCCCATTAGAATTGTTACACACTCAAGTTTTCCTTCAAGCATAAAGGCCAAAAATATTCTCAACCATGCAAGAATGTAGGAACAATTACACCAATAATATTTTTTAAATAAGATTTTTTTTTTTTTTAAGTATGCTCCACGTCCAGCGTGGAGCCCAACACAGGGTTTGAACTCACGACCCTGAGATTGAGATGTGAACTGAGATCAAGAGTCAGACGTTTAACTAAGCAACCCAGGCACCCCTAAATAAGATTTTAAACACAAGGCACAACAAAAGTGCTTAAGAAAATCCATCCACCAATCCAAATACAGCATTCATTTGTCTTGAGTTTTCAACCTATTTGAGTATACAACTGTGGGAAGAAACAATTGTGGTGAATAGGAATTATAAGAAAGAATATATTATTGCCATGGACATTTAAAAATAATATATGATAATATCAAATGCTTGCAAGGATACAAAGAAACTGAATCACTTATACATTGTGAGTGGTAATATAAAATGGTACAACCACTCTGCGTATGGTAGCTTCTTACAAAACTTAAGCATATGTTTACCATACAATCCAACAAACACATTCCCAGGTATTTATTCCAGAGAAATGAAAGCTTATGTTCCCTGAAAAACCTGTACATAAATACGCATAGAAACTTTATTTGTGATAGCCTAAAAATGGAAACAACCCAAATATCCTTCAGTGGGTTATCAGATAAGCAACTGGGTTACATCCATTCTGTGGAATATGACTCACTGATTAACTAGAACAAACTACTGATCCATGCAGCCACTTGGTGAATGTCAAGGGGATTCCACAGAGTGTAAAAAGGTCAATATCAAGTGTTTACATAATTCATGAGTCCATTTGTGTAATATTCTTGAAATGACAAAATTACAGGGATAAGAACAGATTCTTGGTGCAAGGGTTTGAGGGATACTTGTGATGGAACTATGTTGTGTCTTGGCTGTTGTGGGGGGTCACATAACTCTATACATGTGATAAGATTGCATAGAACTACATATATATACATGCATGTAAAGCTGGTGAAATCTAAATAAGATTGATGGGTTACATTCATGCTGATTTTTTGGTTGTGATACTGCACATACACAAGACGTTATCTTTGAGGGAAACTGGGTGAAGGGTAGAAAGGATCTCTTTATATTATTTCTTACATTACTTTGTAGATGTGAATCTATAATCATCTCAAAATAGAAGTTTTATTTTTTTTAAGATTTTATTTATTTATTTGAGAGACAGAGAGCATGAGCGAGGCAGGGGAGCAGAGGGAGAGGGAGAAGCAGGCTCCCCACTGAGCAGGGAGCCCAATGAGGGGCTCGATCCCAGGACCCCGAGATCATGACCTGAGCTGAAAGCAGGTGCTTAACCGACTGAACCACCCAGGTGCCCCTCAAAATAGAAGTTTTAAGATGTATAAAATGTAAAGGAGAAAAACTGGGGGTTATGGGAGAATAAATAATTAAAGCCTAATGTTGAAACATTTAGTTAACTCAAATAATCACTTTGGTCTTTTATAAGTAATAGACCTTGTACAACTTTTTTTTTAATGTAAAGAGATTATTTAGAATTGTGATGAAAATAAATTTCCGTTGTTCTTTCGGTTTAACTTAGTTTCTTTTTTTAAAGATATTTTTAAGAATTTTTTGTTTATTTTATTTATTTATTATTTTTTATTTATTTGACAGAGAGAGAGCATGGGAGCACAAGCAGGGGAAGCTGCAGAGGGAGAGGGAGAAGCTTAGTTTCTTTTAAGTTCAAATAAAATTAAATGTAATGTAACTTATTTTGAAATAGCATAAGTAATTTTATTCTCTTTCTAAAATAATTTCTAAAATTATTTGTCTTTATATTTTTTCTATCTTTATATCTGCAACCACACTGTAACAGATATTTAGAAAAAAATCACCCAATACCAAGAAAGGCTACTTCTAATTAATGACATTTGAGGTAAGTTTTTTAACTTTCTTTTTTGTATCTTTATGACTTTAAATTGTGGATGTGTGCCATTTTTAACCCTAACATACAACAACCAAAACCAAAACAAAACAATAAAACGGGTCCCTGACCTTGAAGGGGTTATTGTATTGTAGGATAACAAGCAGGTAAACAAAAAATTCAAAAGAAGGGTCTAGGGGCACCTGAGTGGCTCAGTTGGTTAAGCGACTGCCTTCGGCTCAGGTCATGATCCTGGAGTCTCGGGATCGAGTCCCGCATCGGGCTCCCTGCTCAGCAGGGAGTCTGCTTCTCCCTCTGACCCTCCTCCCTCTCATGCTCTCTATCTCTCATTTTTTCTATTTCAAATAAATAAATAAAATCTTTAAAAAGAAAAAAAAAAAGAAGAAGAAGGGTCTAAGCTTCCATGACAGCACAGAAAAGGAAGAAACTAAAACTGCCTGAGTTCGGAATGAGAGAAGACTGCCCCGGGGGGTTAGGAAGCATTTTACAATATTGTTTTTTAAAACATTCATTTCTGGGCACCTGGGTGGCTCAGTCGTTAAGCGTCTGCCCTTGGCTCAGGTCATGATCTCAGGGTCCTGGGATCGAGCCCCACTTCAGGCTCCCTGCTCTGCGGGAGCCTGCTTCTCCCTCTCCTCCCTGCTCATACTCTTTCTCTCAAGTAAATAAATAAAATCGTAAATAAATAAATACATACATACATACATACATACATACATAAATGAATAAATAAAACATTCATTTCTTGGTAATTTAACAAGTTCTATCTGGAAAAAGCAGGCCACAGCAAAAACTATTTCAAGTCAGACTTTCCACAGTAAAATCCACTTTGGTTAGTTTTGATAACTTATTGACATGACTGTGTAAAAGGTGAAAAAACTAAAGTGGAAAAGCATGGACTTGGAGGCCACGAGGTTGTTTATTTACTTTAATGAAAAATAGTTTAAACCTTACTTGAATAAGACGCTTTTCAAAAATTCATTTTCTTCACTTTAACGATCATTTTCTTTTTATCTTTGTAAAAGATATTATTAAAACCAAACACTGCAGTGTGCCAGTAACCTACCTTTTTTATTTATATATAAAATAAAAAGGAGCATTCAGAAGTTTAATCTTCACAATTAGCTGGAAATGTTCCCAGTCATTAAGGAGCAAGTATTAATTTGTCCTTTATCTTCATCTCTGAATATACAATCTCATTTATTTTCACTCCAGACTTGGCGCCACACCAAAAACTCGTACGAGCAGGGATGCGTAATCTAAATCTTTCATTGAATCTATGTCTAATATTTGTACAGCTGACTGCATGTCACCATCTCCTTACATGATACAATTGTATAATAACATAACTGGCCATGATTAAATCATGGCGTTGGGCACTCATCAGAACAATCTTGCCC